ACAAATATATTAAACATTACCAATGTTAAACACAAAACTACTATAAAACTCATGTAATTCCTATTTTTTCAAGACATACATTCAAAAGTTAAAACTGAAAACACTACTATAAAACTCACTAGTGTGAACCCTTCTATATCTTTGTAGTCATATCGTGCCAAAGTTCTATTAGATGAGGGGTCTTTTTGAATTAAGGCTGCAGGTGCTATTTCTAAAATCACAGGTATTCTCTTTTCACTCCAATGGTGTTTAACAGCATTAAACCTCTGAAAAAAAAAAAATATAAAGAACAGATTGTATTGAGAATAAATTATTACCAATAACATGAACCCCACAATATATTCAGAAATTGACATTTAAGAAAGAAGAATATCAACAAACTAGACTCAGAGTTTTCAACCCGCCTATTCATATAGGACATATATAAACTATAATATCTTGTCTTCATAGGACACAGAATAGTAAAATTAGACCTCTTGATGGTCAGCATTTTGATATTACAGTTAATTTATGTATTTATGTATTATTATTGTTTTCAAAAATGTATACTTGAGATTGTGATGGGCCCGTGGCCTAGTATGGCAATAAAGTTGAAAATGTCAAAGAAACTGTTGAAGACATCAAACAAAATGGCTGCCAGCGGCCACCCAAAATCACAAAAACAGAAAAACAAGGTGCACCAGTAACACAACTCATATGTTTGAATTAATTGGCTTAGGGACATCTGAAAAATAATTGATGACATGTTGAAAGACAAAAATAACCACCAGTGAGTCAAATTTCACTGAAATAGAAAACAAATTGACATATTTATTCATTCTTTGTACATTAAGTGAATAAAATCACTGTGATCAGAAAAAGAATGTGCCATAATTTAAATACCACTTTCATTATTGCAACTTTTCAATGATTAATTCAAACTCACCTTTTCTGAACCTTTTTTGTAATCAGCAAATGCAGTGAAAAAATGCTAAAAATTGAAAAAAAAGTGATAAAATATCTGTTAATATAATTTGCTGGAATAGCACCAACAATTTTAGATAAACAAGAACTGTATACACTATAGAATTAGTTTCTTAGAAAGCATTCCTGTAAAATCTTAATAATGTATGTATAGCAAATACAAGTCAGGCTTACCAATGCTTCTGTGAGAACGTCCGCCCTGTGCTCCGTAGAAAACCTCATAGTCTCATTTTTCTTGCCTTTCTTGAATGTTATGCAGAACTCTGTATTTGTTTGAGCTTTAAAGTTTGGTGAAATGCCACAAAAATCAGTGTTATATGCCCACTGGAATAAATAAGAAAAACAATTACAAACAATCCATTTCAGAGAAATCACCACCAGACTTGTAGATAGTTGTCACACCACACACTTAATACAACCATTACACGGGCTTGGTGAAATATTTAATTATACAAATATCTATTTCTTTACCTGATTTGTAATTTCTAAGCTGCCAGGATTATAAGTTCTAATTCCTTTTGTTCCAACTGAAAATATTCTTTTATATCTGAAAAAAAAAAAACCTCACTGTGTTAAAATAAATGTGACATAACTCTTTGATTCATGGACACAGAATTCTGAAAGTTTTTGGTAAAATGCAATAATTATATTATTTCAATATTGTTATATGTTTGCTACAAATTGAGGAGTTTTCAATCAATCACATGTTAAAAATAAGACAGTTTATAAGTATATCATGGGTGGTGAGCAAAGATGACAACAGCAATAAAACCACTAGTTGCAGTGTCACAGAGATGATTTCTTAGTTAACTTTTAATTTCCAATTTTCTTGGTTAATACTTTTGTTTAGTAATAAAAATACACCATATATTTTTAATTTTCTGTATTTTTGTTTAAGACTTACTTGTATGAAAGCAGAATACAGAATGAAAATCTTATTTTTCAAAGTTCACCACATTACATGTATTTAGAAACTGTACATGTTTGTGTATGAGCGCCAAACTCTTGTGGAAAGACATTAATCAACTGGTAAAGATGGACACTCAGTTTTGGAACCAGCTATCATTGAAGATAGAGCTATTCAACTTTGAATTCCAGGAACATCTATAGGTTGAATAAACTTTGAGCCAAACTGGTCATCGAGTCACTGTTTTGTAAAGAATTTCAGGCCAGCTATACATGTATAATTTAGCCAAAACTATTTTTGCTTACCAATAAATTCAGCCTTTGATGAATTGGCGAATTGAAGAGCGAGTCCCAAATCCCATTTTATTTTTCTACCAAATTCACAAAAGCAAATACAGCTACTATTATTTGTCTGCCAATTTTTGAACACACATTATATTTAATTGTCAATTAACTAGAAGTGTCAGATGATTTCAGTACTCTTTGATCAAATTATCACATGACAGCTGATTAGAGACACACATGATCAGAGCAACATAATGTACACAAACACTTCACAGTTCAAAGGTCAGTATGATCGATGCAAATGACTCCAACACGCCCATATTAGATGTATTTTATCGTCATGTCAAAAAATTGGTTGAAATGAATAAAAAAATGTTGTATACTGGTAATATGAGAAGACATGTCAGTCAATATTTTATCCTCTGAACACCAAAGCATAAATTTTTTTTTTTTTATTTTTCCAAACAAATTTATCAGGATATTTGACCTTTTCACCTTTATAAGCTGAACATTCCAAAAAATGAACAATTTTCTCACTTCCTTTTGTGTTCAGTTTAACTTTTTCACCACCAGTTCCCTCTTTTCATCAAAAATAAGTCCTGTTCATAGTCTGCACTTTTCTTCAGAAGATTGGGACAATTAATAGCCAACATTTTTTCAGTAAAAAATGAAAATCAACTAAAATTTTGTCTGTTGGCTCCAAAGTTAAGTGTCTATTTCCAGAATATTGAAGAATTTAAAAAAAAAATGCTGAAAAATTTGGACTTGAAAGTCTGGTAGTGAAAAGGTAAAGAATGCGAAATGA